ATATATTTTATGGCACACTAAATGTTGAAAGAAACAAAAAAAGATTTTGCTTTGGTTTTTAACTTTATTGCTTCGTCTGAGTATTATCTATATTTTTCCCCCTTTTTTGTTGTTGCTAATTGTTGGTTGTTACGCGCTTTATCTTATCTCACAGATGAGCGTATGTATTTGGGATTTGAGCCCTATGTTTTCAGACACGCTCCCAGTTTGACCTTGCCAAGCTCTGCTCCACCAATGTCTGTATGTATATGTATGTGTATGTACCTGATTTCCTATGCTCTATAAATATATATTACGATTTGCATTTCTTTTCGCACGCGTCTGCGGAACTACGTTGAACTATTGATAACCCGAGATTAGAAAAAATTAACATTAGTTAAAGATTTTTTGATTTTTTTCTTATGTCAGATTGATTTGAACTTTGTGAACGATAACCTGCAAGACATGAAATATTCCACAAAAAAATATGAAAAAGAAAAACAAACGCAAAAGACGCAATAAGACGTAATCGATTGCGATCTGAGGGCTCTATTAACTTTTGAAGAACACCCGAATCAATTGTAGCACCTGATTCAGTAATTAGGCATTGATAAAATACAAAATAAATCAATTTGATTACAAATCGAAACGATGGGAAACTTTCATATTACGTCTAGATTGTATTTCAATTGAATTTTTTGAAGTGTTTGTGTACATTCGTTTGTTTGCCAATAGGCGAGGCACGGGTGTTAAGCATTTGAACAGAACTAAGTAAACATGGAGAAGAAAACTAATAAACTTTGCAATTTACAACTCAAATATTATATACTACATACAATATCGATATATGTATGTATGTATGTATGTACCTGCGCGCAGAGCTCTGGCATTGACCTTCCCGAGAAGTAGGCGCTGTAGTAGCTTTAACTAATGAATTCATTATATTCAGTCAGCTGTCGACTCTTAAAGAGCTCTGTCGTTGAAAGAGAAACTGGGTGAGTGAGAGAACAAGAGGCGACCCAAGGCAAAGTTACGGTTACTCCGTCGCTGCTCTACCTGTGCCTCTGCCTAAGTTAACGGCGAACATCTGTTCGCTTCGTCTCGTGCCTGCGCACTGTAAGCGAATCAAGGGTAGGTAAAGGCAGGAGGCGACTGCCACAACGATGGGTGGCAGGCAGCACTTGGCCTACGTCACGAGCGCGTTTCGTAATAGCCAAAGCATGAATAAAAAAAATCAATACGTAATTATCCTTTACGCTTACTTTTGTTTTCATGCGACCTGGCCAATGGGCCAACATTTGTTTTCAAACTTACCAATAGTAGGCTATTTGATCGCCCAGCCCGTTACGAACATTTCGATCGAGCAGATTGTAGCAAATATTGGTCGAGGCGCCCTCCATCCATTTGATGGATATGGGTCCTTTGGAGATATTGAAATTGTATTGCATGAATTTGGAGGGATCCGCAGGCGTCTCCCAATGAAATTGTTTCGCTACGCGAGACCAAAACTCAGCGGGATTGTCCAAGGACTCCTTGTAGAATTTCGTGTACTCGTCAAAGCTGGATATGTAGGCATTACGGCTAATTGCCGGATTCGGATTGAATATTGATTTTTCCGTTGGCATTTTGCGTCTGTTGTATCTTTGCTCCACTTGGTAGGCTCTGCGAATCTATGACAATTATCCTTTGCTCATGCAACTTGTCACTCTGCCCCTTGTTTTTACTGTCACTTTGTTTGGCCCTTGACTAGCAATGTGTGCGTGTGCCCGTGTCTCAGCTTGTATATATGTTAATATATATATTTATATGTTTGTGTATGTGTGTGTGTGTCAGTTTGTTCCACTACTACCCGCAGCGCACGACTTCTTGTACCGCACGGTCCGAGTTCAATTTGAGCACTGAGCACAGCGCTCGCCCGCTATCAAGCTTTTTGCCATACCGAGAGCTTTCGCCCGGTGAGCTTTTAGCGCGCGCACAAGAACCTTTCTCGCGCCGTCAAGTTCAAAATAGGCAAGCTTATCAGCATCTGTGTTTGTGGGCTGACACTGACAGACCGTCTGTCACAGACGCTCGACCTGCCCATCAGTTCCTTATCACTGCATCACGGTACGTACTTTGATACGAACGTACATTTCCACGCCTGGCTTAAGGGTGTGTTGCCTTTGATGATCTAGTGCGTCGTCTGCCACCGAACGCAATCAGGTGATAATCGCAGCCTCAGTCAGCAACAGATATTGTTACATGCTGCTACCGCTGCAGCGGCCATTTCCGCTGAGCCAACGCCACGCTGTTTGGCAATGATCTAACATTGAGTGGATTTTGAGTGATTCTTTGATAAGAGTCCACTCATATTATAAGAGCGCGCACCGCCACTCTCGCTCTCACACACTTTGTTGCTCTCGAGTCGACAGTCTTATCAGTCACAGCCATAGTGATTCCATGGGGGAGCTGCGATGTTGGCGAGCAGCAATGTTGAGGTGCCACCCGTGGGTCATTTTGTGATTGCGATTGTGATTGTTTCAAGTGTAATATTTGGCTTTTCAGTTTATTCTTAGAGCGTAACGAAATCCAATTTGTGGATATTTGTGTATTTTGTGATTATGTGGATTGTGATTTATGATATCGTATGTTTACAGCGTATGTTTTATCTGAGTGCAATTATCCTATAACTGACTAGTGATCGGCACTGTTGCTAAGAAAGTCTTTGTACTCCTCCTCAGTCATGAGTTTCTTTATTTCCGCGGCATCTTTGATCTCCACCTTGAACAGCCAACCTGAGGAAGATTGTATTTAGTGTGGAAATATTGTAGCCGTGATTATGATGAATATCTCACCTTTCTCGTAGCAACTGCTGTTGACCAGGGCTGGTGTGTTCTCGACATCGCCATTCTTTTCTGTCACCTTGCCGCTGACGGGCGAGTAAACCTCGCTGGCCGCCTTAACACTCTCCAGAGCACCACACTCATCGTCCTTCTTCAGTTCGGTGCCCGGTTCGGGCAGCTGGGCAAACACAACATCTCCCAATGCTTCCTGTGCATAGCTGGAGATGCCCACAATGGCTTTGTTATCATCTACCATCTCAACCCATTCGTGTTTGTCTGTGAAGCGTCGCTCTGCAAGATAGAAAACCTATTAATACCTGTTGTGTTTACAGCTGACTCGCTACCAGTGGCTCTCAAACCATTGTTGTGTTTCTTTCATGTGATTACATAAATCCATTTTCTTACCATTGTCGAGGATGCAGCTGACATGGAAACTGCGCCACTGTGCTGTCGCAAGAGGCATGGCACGCACCTGGCGAGCTATCTGCACACCAACACGACCGAATTTTGTTATGAAAACCATTTTCGTTTGAAAATTCTTAAATGTGAATTGTGAATTGTATTTGCTCTAGGATTTTCACAGGCACGTTATGGCCCCGAGCACGTTTCAAAATGAAATGAGCTGTATTCTGCTTGTGTACTACGTTTTACGCTTAACAACAACGCTTTAAGTCATATTCTGTCATCAAATTCGACCGGCTTATCAATATTATGAATTATTTTTATGAACTTTCGATTGACCTGCGTTCGATGGATGGGCTTGAACTGCGTAACGCAAGCGCAAAAATGAGCAACGTAAGCGCAGAATGCTCCGTTTTTTGTGAGCATTTAGTATCTATGCAACGCTGTTAAAGTAACGGATCGATTTTTAGTTGTGGCGCAATATTTAAATTTTTATAAATATGTATTTAAACTTTGTTTATCATTAAAAAATATCTCTAAAACTGAACAACATATGCTATGTAAAGCCAAGGGTATTAATATTTTGTTTGGCCTAAGAATATTTTTTATATTAGCAGTGCTGCTAGAATAATCGAAAGCACTTTTCTTTTAGCGCTAGGTTCAAAATTGCAAAAATAGATCAAGAAATTATTTCATGACGTTGCACATTTGACAATCTCCACAAAATCGTTGCTGGGGTGCATGATTCAATAGACCGGACATTTTCAACATTAGTTCGTCCTCTTATCAGCAGTGGAATAAAAATCAAACACATTAAATTATACTGTGTGTGCAAATAAGCATAAATATGTATATATTGTAAATATTGTATTCACAGATAATGATATATATACATCTATTGTTAGTTGAACGTAAATAAATAGAACATAATACTCTGATAAAAACTACAATTGGCGCCAAGTACATTTTGTCTTACTTAATTTTAGCTGCTTTACTTCTTTGTTGGCTTTACTTGTGTAACGAGGCCGTTGGCGTTGGCGGCGGGGGCGGGGCGTTAAATATTTGAGAATTATATGGATTACTTTAGGTGGAAATGCCTTGGCACACATTTAGTACTGATTGCGACGCAGTATGCCATTGGGATTGGGACTCGGCTGTGGCGAATAGTCGGGCATGGGGAACCCAGTGGAGGCCATGACTATTGTCTCCTGGACAGGACCCTGCGAGGACTGTCGCAGAGGTCGATTGTTTGAGTTGGGCGCCGGATACTGCTGGAAGGCATCAATGCTGCGGAAACGGCGATCCATCAGATTCGCGTCACGGGACATATGAGCAGCACGAACTATGGCCTCCTCGTTCACCTCGATGGTCTCCGCCGTGGAGCGAGTCTCTGGCATGTAGGCATCATTGGTATATGCCTGCACCTCCAATCTGTTAAATAAAGACTACACTTAGCGAAAGAGGCCATTGAATTATAAGGCAAACTTACTTCTCTTCTTCGTAGGCGCGAATTGGTGGTCTGCTACTGAGTATATCGTTGGAGTCTTTGCGTGGCATGAAGAGCGTGTCCTGTAATTAACAGAAATGAAATCACAAATTATAATATGTGAAGAGAACAAAGAGAACAAAAATCATTTATAAGTATTATAAGTAATTCCTCTAAGTTATTCGTCTAAGTATTTCGTTTACATTATTCTTCTAAGTGTTTCCTCTAAGTATTTCCTCCAAGTATTTAAAACTTAGTTAAACGCTCATTAAATAATTACACACACTTCCTTTTACTTGACTACAATGCACAATTGACCCCCACCAGGCCTGGGCGACTGAAGAAATGCTGAAGCTGCAGCCCTTTATATAGGGCGACCTTCACTCAGTCAGCGAGTCGCGCTCAAATGTTGAGCCTGACGCCAGGTAGAAGTCGCTGCAGTCGAGCCCTAAGTGACCAATGGGAGCCCTCTCTGCTGCTTCAAGCACTCTCGCTTCGTTTTAATCGACTATAAATACCAAATGAATATGGGTGCATACACATAGACAACTTAAATGATCTTCTACAGTTTCTATTCGTGTCTTGCAGAAAAATACAGAGACAGGCTGAGAGAGAGAGACATACATGCGTACAGGTACATACAGAGTTTTGTAGCACTCAGCTTAAGTCAAATTCGAGAGAGCGGATGAGAGTGCTTTCAGCAGACATACATAATTACAGGGTATATTGGCAGTCACTTCAAATCAGGCTCTTTGCCTACAACTTCAGCCACAATACGAAATTCCCATTATTTATCAGCGTGTGCGTAAGCCATTTTATCGACTACTGGACGCTGCCGACTGATAAGCTGCTAGGTACGTAGTATATGCGCAGAACTCTAACTATAGACGTGCCGTAGGCGCACGGTGTACTCATCGAAATATTGGAACCGAATTTGTCGCTTACATACCACACAAGAGGGTCGCATGTCTGCATAACTCATTGATCTTAGTAGCTAGGTGGGCGGGCTGACAACTGGGTTTGCCGTGATTTATGGCAGCCCAATTACAAGACCTGTGCGCCGCTGAGTCAGATGATGTCACTTACCGAGCCGTCCTTATCTTGGGAAATTTGCACAGCTCGTGCCAGCAGATAGCTGAGCAAATACACATTGATCAGCCACATGATGAAGCCCTTGAACGCGATCAGCATCATGGACATGGCTGCCACGCCTCCAGCAACGAGTTGCGGGGCATTGGGATCCAGGTAACCGGAATTGATGCTGTTCGCATTGAACTCGGACGCCCGAGCATGGAAGCGACTAAAGTCAACGCCGAAGATGACGCCGGCCACCAGGTCCATGGCACAGATCGAGCCCACAAAGAATGCCCAGCTGTAGATCACGCTCAACGTCTGCTGCACATTGTCTTTGTTCAGGGCTGCAAAAGGGGGAAAAATGAACAAAAAATAAAATTATAATTGTGCGAATCACTTCTGAGCTCATCTATCAAGTGGACAATTAGTACAGTAATCACTGATGGGTGACATCAAGTACTTGACTTTGACAAGGAATATATCCCAATGTATGTGTGTGTGTGTAGGTCTGTTTTTATGCCTAATCAGGAAAGTGCGAAGAAGAAACCTCATCGCGTATTACACAACCACACAAATATTAAATACAACCAAATAAACGGACAAACCCGCCAATCGTTTACCTTCCTACGTTCCAGTATACCCTGTATAAATAGTGGTAACGAAGAGGGCATATTGCTATCATATTGCAAGATATATGCATAGATTGCATATTATAAACCCGAAGTGGGCCCCGCTGAACTCTCTTATCTCATGCATATATGATTATTTGGAGATGTGACTGTAAAATCAAATAAAATTTCGAAATAAAATATGATAAGACATTAGAATAACATGGTCTGAAAGGCTGCGGCTCAATTTTAAGTATATAAATTTTAAAAATTTGTCAAATATATAAAATAAATGTATAGAAAAATAGCTCACTTTAAAAGGGAACCTGAACTCAGTAAGAGAGGAGAAACTTGTAGACCTTTGTCGACTCTGAGATGAAGGGTATCTCTTAGTCATGCTCTCTCTAAGCTGTAGCAGTCATATTTGTTAGTAACGGGGCTTTTGATTTTATCTTTGGGCTAAGCTGCCTGAACATAAAAATGTTATTGAAATGACGCTAGATAGTGATAAACGTAAATTCAACTTTATTGAAATGCCGCGCCACGTGAATCACCCGAAGTAACGAAATTGCAATTTCCGTCAGCGATGATTTAATTTTAGTCAATATCAAAAGATGAAGAGATACAAATGTGATATATATACGGCTTTCTTTATATTTTCGAAAGGGGTGGCTTAACTCACCTGTCAAGAGCAGAACGGACACAATGAACCAGCAGGCGGACAGGCCAAGGTACACGCAGTCCCAGACGAGCAGCTGTGTGGGATCGAAGACGGTGTGAACGCTATTGATCAAGGTACGATTGTAGTTCTGGTAGGCTTCCGGGGACATCTTGCAGCTGCCATGGAAGTACACATCGAAGAAGATGACCTTCACAAAGTTGCCATAGTTCATCGTCTCCGCGATGTAAATGTTGCAGCTATATGCAATGATTGCCGTTATCGTCAGGCCTATCCATATGACAGCTTGCACCTGTAACGAGCCGGAGAGACATTGAGAGAGTGAGAGAGTGCGAGAGGTGAGCAGCTTGTTTGTTGACACACGTCAATGAGGCATTATGTAGCTTATTTTTTGTGTGCAGTTGAGTGAATCAGTTTTCGATAAGGGCTGTGATTGATTAGCCGCAGCTGATCAATTGGAAAATGTGTGTTTCCTGCTTGATGGCGCCTCAATTCAGGTACAAAATTGAAACTGTGAAAGCTGCTGCTGTGAGTGCAGCAGCTGGCCCATTGATGTCGCTCTTATCGAATGCTGGAATGAGGTCGAGCCGAGATAAAAACGTTCATGTTGCATCAGTTACTCACCACGCCGAGAGCACCTGCCCAATTGGCCCAGGTCTTCAGGGAATCAAAGTTCCTAATGCCCGTGGCTGGACGCCCGTACATCGTGATTGACTGCCTATAGTAAATGTCCGCACAATAATTATTCGCACAATCGACGTTTGCGAAGTGCTTTACACAACTAAATCAGCCGGACGCGTTGAATGGAAATCGTTGCGAGCCCGTAACATGGGCCAATTAATTTTAGCGCTTTTAAATTTGTTTTTGCAGCTCGCTTAGTTTTCGATAACACTTTGAATAACAAGAACAACAGCAACAACACAATGCAACAATAACAACAGCAGCAGCAACAATCTGAACTGGCCAATAAAGAACTGTCTGAGCACACTTTTATTTTCAAATGTTCGACTTTATACGCTGAATGCGTTCGCTTTTCGTATCGTTTGCCAACTGAAAATACGTCTTTTTGGCCACGAGCACCGTTACCAAATTATATATATACTATATATATGTGTGTATACCATTATTATTATTATCGGCGAACGGAGGTTACTGATAACGCGAGCCTCAATATTGCCAAACACCGTATCTCTTGCACCCGCATTTACCACATGTCCCATCCGCATAAAACTGTTCTTCGGGCGCGCAAAATCGTGGGGAACATATATAACAAATCGCTGTGGAATCTTATCAGCCCATTTGGAATGTTCATATTGTAAAGATATTTGTCAGCCGTAAATTCTAAATTGCAGCATAGTCGAAGCAGTTTTGAATATTGCGCGCATTTAGCGCCATCTACAGTTAGCTGCCAGTACTCAAAGTCGTACGACCACTCCAATGAGCGTTTTTTGAACATGCATTATTTACTCAGCCATACATATAATATTTAAACATTAATTTTATTTTTTAAATAAATATTTTATTCAAATCCAAAGAACATGTGTCATCTCTTACACCCTCAATTATTATTTATATACGTTTTACAATTTTGCTCGATGCGCAGTACACGTCGATTGTTGTTGGGCAGTCGTGTCTGAACGTGTATGCCCACCAACACGGCCGCCATTTCCTCTTTGTGCGATAGAGACAGCGGACTATCGCATCGGCAGAATACAGGCCGCCGTCGTGCGCTGAAGCGAGACAACAACATTGCGCAATGCAGCTCATGAGCATTTAACCCTAAATAATACTCTAGTCTATCTAGACTTAAGTACAGTCGAAAGTGACGCCGCGGTATACAAACTTTATTGAAAACCTAAACAAATTGTTGTCCGCTCGCCGAACAACAAAACATAAGACAGGAAAAAGGAATACAGCAATTGCTCAAAGTGCATATAGTGAAGTGCTTCAAACAGTGCTCGCCTGAGAAATAAATGTGTTAGTGAATGCGGCGGTTTTCAAAAAGAAAAAAGAAGAGTAGAAGAAAAAAAAATAAGAAGTTAACAAACATATACTAGATAATAGCCAGCGAGATCCACACACACACACACGCGCGACACAGACACATTGCACACACGCGGCGTATATAATGAACAATCAACTCAACCCGGCCACCTACCGCAAATTCAATAATTTGCTGAGCAGCGGCGCAGTCACCGTCACCGGTCCCGGTCAGCCACGCATATTGAAGACGACGCGCCTGGCGACGCCCGCATCGAGCGCAGCAACGCAGCAGCAGCAAAGCATGATGGACTCGGACTCAGCAGCACGGTGTTACATCTGTGACGACCCACTGCAGCCCAGCCAAACGCAGACGGCTGTTACGGATATGTGTACCACGCACACCTCCACCAAATTTCCGAATAAGCTGGCCCAGCTGGTGGGTGAGGGCTTCTTAGTGATTGTGTGCAATGAGGATTTCGTTTGCACGCGCTGCACCAATCTGGTCAACTACTTTGATCGGTTAGAGAACGATGTGGAGCGCGTAAAGGCGAATCTGTTGAACTTGCTAAACAAAAAGTATGGCATCAACGAGGATAGCGGCGGCAGTCATTCAGACGCCGCCAGTCCTCCGCTCAAGATGCAAAAGTTGATCAGTGGCACAGGTAATCGGTCCTTGGAGGAGGCTGGAGGTGGGGACATGCTGCGCCAGCGCAAACTAGTGCAGCAGGCGCCAGGTGAGCAACTGAGCGCCTGGTCACATACTAGTCGTTGTTATTAACTTAATTCTCTCTCCCTCTTTCTTAGCCTCGCAGCAACTGAAGCTGACCGCAGGTGGTCAAGGTGGCGCTGTAGCCAGCACAAATCCGCCAGTGCAGCGTAAGGCGACAAAGATCTACAAGTGTACGTCGTGCGATTACAAGACCTCGGATATGCGTCTGTTTAACACCCACTACGAGACCTGCAAGCAGCAGACGTTCCAGTGCAAGACCTGCCGCAAGATCTTCCCACATTTCGGTGCCATGAAGCAGCACATGGTCCGGGATCATAACACGGCCATGGACAACACGTGCGCGATGTGCCACATCAATTTCGTGAACGAGGCCAGCCTGCGCAAGCACATGGAAACCAATCATGCCACAAATGTTCTGGTCACCAGCACCACAACCATACCAGCAGCTGCGGCGCCTGTGACAGCGGCAGCTGCTGCTGCCGCGGCTGCGGCTGGCGTCACCGAGTCCATTGGCGCCTCCGGCTCAGCTCTGTATACATGCAATCACTGTCAGTTCAAGTCGACCGACAAGGGCGTCTTCGATGAGCACATGCGCAAACACATCAGCGGCAAGCCGAAGCCCTTCAAGTGCCGCCTCTGCTCGCAGCGATTCGAGACACGCGAAGCGGCCACCATTCATGCCAAGCAGCATCAGACGAACTACTTCAAGTGTGGCCAGTGCGCCATGACGTTCCCCAAGCGCGAGCTGCTGGTCAAGCACGTCGAGCTGCATCAGGCTGAGAAGCTAAATGCCTCAAGCGGCGGCAGCCAGAACTTGAACACACAGAAGCTGCTGCAGGAGACGATTGATGAGGCGCTCAGCGATAGCGTGCCATCCCAGGGAGCCGGCACTGTTGTGGCCAGCGGCGGTGAGGCTGAGAATAACATTCGATTCTTTTCGTGCAGCATCTGTTCGCTGACCTTCATTCAGGAGACGTACTACAATCACCACATGGAGACGCATAGGCGCGACAAGAAGGGCTCGGCTGCCGGCGGCGGCACCACAGCCCTCAACTCAGCAGCGACAGCGCTGCTCAGCGATGAGCCAGGAGACTCGGGCTCTGGCGCCAAGGAGGAGCTCAACGAGCAGAATGCCGAGGCGGACATTGAGAGTCTGTTTGAGAAGCTGCATTCCGATAAGAACGATAGCGAGAAGAGCGGCAAGAATGAGATGGTCATCACCTCGCAGGAGGGCAGCGGCGGCATCACGTTCAACATAACCATACCGCAGGTGGATGCCAGTGGCGAGCAGGCCGAGAAGCATTCGCCAAACTCGCAGGCGCCCGTTTCGGTGAGCATCGACATGCCTGTGCTGGACCAGGCCGAGGAGGAGGAGTCACAGTCCCAAAGCAGCAACGACAACAAAGCAGCCGACGGCGGCAAATCGAATGCAGCGCCCGTCTCGATGCCCAGCCTGGACGATGACAATGAGGCAGCGGCAGCCGGGGCAGCGGACACAACTGACGGCAATGCGGCCAGCAGCGGAAAGGCGAGCGAAAAGAGCGGCTCCAAGGCTGACCAATCAGCAGCTAAGGAGAAGTCCAAGGAGGCCGAACAATCTGGCAATGCGGAGGGCGACGCAGATAAGCGAGAGTCCAACGAGACAACAACAGCCGAACAAGCAGCCGAATCGGAGGCAGCGGCCAACGAAGCTGCCGAGGCAGAGGCAGCTGCCTCAGCTGAGGGTGAGACGGCCGAAGCATCCGGCGGCGAGCAACAAGTGGCCATGGAGCTGGATGAGGCCATGCAAGCCCAGGTGGATGGCGGCCAAATCAAGTTCATTGTCAATGAGAACGGACACCTACTGCAGCTGGACAACCACATATTGACCGATGCGGATGGTAATCAGATCATAGTACAAGACCCGGAGCAAATCCAGCAGCTGCTCCAAAGCGTGGGCGTCCTGCAGTCGGGCGAGGGGCTCGAGGGCGAGACGCTGCAGATGATGACCGATGGCAGTGGCCAGATGGTGCTCGTCCATGGCGACAACAACGAGCAGCAGCTGATCGATGCCTCGCTCCTGAATTCCGAAGGCCAGATTATCATTCAGCAAGGCCAGGATGGCGAGGAGGGTCCTCATGTCATCAGCGAGGATGGCACACGCATACCCGTGTCCGTCTCCTACACTGAGGATGGCCAGCCCATTGTCCAGGTGCAACAGCAGGTGCTGGAAGCAGCGCAGGCGAACGCCGAAGAAAAGGAAGCCGCTGCCGCTGGCCAAGAGGAGGCTGGCGAGGAGGCGCAAACAAGCGAATCGGTGACTGTGACCACCTCGGCTGCCGCAGTGACCACTAGCACGGCCAGCAGTAGCACCGGTGGCACCGCTGGCTTCTTTGCGCTGGAAGAGTTTGCCGAAACGAAAACGGACTAGGATTGGCTCTAGAAACGGGGCCGCCAACACTATCCAATCCTGGCAAGCGATGAGGACTGGTAAGTGAAGACCCTATCCCATGTCCAATTTAGGTTGGTTTTGCTAATGAGGATTTCTTCTTCTTGTAGGTTTTGAGCGAAAAGAACCAAAATAATTGCTAAATCGAGGTCTGACCAAACTCTCGGCCCAACATCCGAAATATGCAGACTCACACACACACAGACACAAGACAACACAACACGACACATACGCATTTTAAATACGCATACACACACACATATACACTTACACATTTATACATTTAGCTTATGTATTAACACTCCGGTTGACAACAAGAACAACAACAACAACATCTGTAATCAGGGTCGATTCATATTTTTATTGCAATCGAAGCACGAGAATTGGCCCCGTTAACTGGAATTGGCAATTGGTTTTTGGCTGGATTTGCCTGAGAACGTGTTAGGCTTAGTTTTAGCATAGACAACCACAACAACAACAAATACAAACATAAACTATAAAATGTAAAAAAAAAAAAAACAAAAAAAAAAGCTGTTCATAGATTATTACAACAGAAGCTTGAATTATAATTAATATACAAAATCAAGAAAGCGATTCTAATATATAAAAACTAAATAAAAGAAAGAAAAATTATACAATAAAATCTATCCTAAAGTAGTTCATAATGCAAATAGCTGTACATAAGCTAATGCCGAGCTAAGCTGGCTGATAGATCGGCTCATGAATGATAAGCACACGAACACACTCATACCAGTTTATATATGCATGTATTGTATGACAAATGTAAAGATATCCGATTGTGTATGGGAAAACAACAACAGAACAACACAGAAAAAAAGCTTGTTTTATATATATGTATTTTTCGCATTTCGCTTTCAAGTGTTTGGAATTCAATTTGCATGTAGATGCAGATCAAGCATTTGCGAAGCCATATAAATATATAATTGGCATCATTCATACAGAGTAGATGTTGATAGATCCTATGTTCGAATTTCAATCAAAGTGTAACGTGCATTGAACCCAACTCGACGTGGACTTGATTGGGGTTTCATACATGTATACTCGTATATGCATAACGAGCCACGATCGAGTCTTTTGTTTCGATAAATGCGAATAGTCGACGGCTGTTTGAGTGCTTGTAAATTGAACACCGTTTATTTGGCTTTGTTTTCAGCACTGATTAAGTTGTAGCTGACATTGAAATTTGATTTTCAGACGCTCCGCCCTCTGTTTAGGTCACTTTTATTACTTTGCTCGGGGCAATAAATCTTCAAATTGTTGGCACTAAACTTTGAATGTCGAATCTGGCAGCCGGCTTGGCTCGTGCACGCTTTGATACCCTGGCTAGATACTCCAGGGGAGTAATGGAATTATGCTTATAAGAGTGGTTAAAGGAATAAAGAGTTCTTAATCTATTCGTCTGACATTTAAATCATTTGAAATTTTTTGTATATAATGAGAAGAAAACCCGAATTAAAAAGTCGGGCATTTTACTTGTCATGTCTATCTGGTAGTCTAGCAAACGTATTCCATTATAATATGCAAATGTAAATATCTTAATATATAAATCACGAGTAATCCACTAGTCAGGCATACCCCGCTAGAACACCAACACATTCGATAGTCAGTGAGCTGTCTCCGTGCCGTTTTATTTTCTATAAAAATATCTACTGGGAGAACTCATGAATAATTTATATTAATTTTGTCGTAGTTTCTTATTTATTATTATTATTTGTGGAAATCAATTCACGTAATGCTCTATCTCTGTTTAAATTTGGCTAGCTTTTGATTTATGTGCAACTAAACAGAATCATCATTTGGACCACTCAACGAGCTGCTTAAATTCATTTCAAGGACGTGCCCTGAGTGGGATTACACCGTTGCAGCAGTAACAACTTTAAGCTGTTGTTGTTGTTGTTGTTGTAGGTCGGCCTAAGATGAAAAGCTCGATATGTTAGCTGTGCTTGGTTTATGTGTGCTCTTACATAATCTATAGCTTCAACAGTCGGTCAATATTATGCAACGGCCTCAATTAGCCCAAATCGCCATGCAAATGAGTGCCATCAATATATGTATATACATATATATATTTTTATCTTCTGCCTCTTCTGTTTAGCGTTACGAATCGAAAGTCGTTCTAAAGGTTGTTCGACTTGCCATTTTGGGTAAAACGAAAAATTGAAGATGTAAATGTGTCAGCTATTTATCTAATGTATGCTAAATGAATGTTATTAATTGATGTTTTAATGTGCACATTAATCAGTTGCTAAATGAAGTCGTTCAATTAAAAGTCTTTTGGTTTATAAGCTAAGGCGATATTTATCAAAAGTGAAATATGTTTTCTCTATAAGTAAGTTAAGCAAACGAGGCTACATGCCCTAGTCGAATATTCCAACCAATGGATCCGCTTTGGACGAGATAGCCTGACTAAAGCATTCAGTATTATATATATAAGTTACCATATTTCATTGAATATTAAGTCTATTTGTCTTCTAGAGAATTATATCTAAAAGTTATGTTGCTCTCTTTTAATTATATATATATATATACATATATATATATTTTTTTTTTTTGGTTCATCGCCTAAATGTTAAAACATATAGTCTGCAGCTGTTAGGCAACTGGTTTCAGTTCCCTATAGCCATAAAAAAGTCTGGAAGGTGTATGATGCATTTTAAATGTTATATATAAAGACGAGAAAATATTTAATTTTTGACTTTTTTTGACTTTAATGTACATGTCCATTAAATATTAAAATTTAGTCAGCGACGTCATTTGAAAATGTTAATATCAAATTACGCCATATATGCAAACCTCTGTATTCCTCCTGGCAAAACTTTCATTTTCAATAGAAGAGGTTCTCGGCTTAAGTTGTCCGCTGATGGAATTAAAAAAGAATTTGTTATACATATTTATTTTTGGAATTCTATATATACATATATATGTACATGTATTCATTTGTCTGTTTCTCCCGAAACGTAATTCCCGATTTGCATTTAATATCCATAAACATCAATTTCACATTTCAATCGTCTGGTCGCTACAGATAATATAATAATAATATTAACAATAATGCGTTCTTATCTCACTCGCTGACAGTCGCGCAATTCATCTATGTAGATCCGTTATATATAAATCTAATATATATATATATATGTGTCTGTTCAGGATTCACTACCAACGCCTCGATTGCACCTCGTCTACCGAGGGATGCGTGCGTATGTATTCCAGCTGACGGTCCAGGTGCTTGATGGCATGATCTCCGCTCGGCTGGTAGCCGTTCTCGTCGGCCACATAGGTGAAGGTAATGGGCAGGCCCTCCTTGGATACGTACTGGACCACGCCCACGGCGCCAGCCTCGTTGCCCGCCCCCTTGATGGTGATGCCATTGGAGGTCTGGAACTCGAATTGGTAGTTGCCATTCGCATCTGGCGGCTGATTGTTGTAGTAGATGGTATGGGGCGTGGCTGGGCGTGCGGCACAGGTGGCAGAGAGGAAGAGTAGCACCAGGAGCTGCAGCAGCCGAGACTGTGGCAGGAATTTGATTGAGCAGAGTGATCGAAAAACCAAGTCGAAACAACGCACAAACCTTGACAAACTGGCGTCGATACTGATAACTGGAATGCATTATTGAACGCGCCGAATAACAGTAAAAATATATAAATATGTATATGTAGATGTGTGCGGACGTTGATCTGAATGTGATCTGAACAGCGATTGCGATCCGTGTGATGCGAAAGTTAATTTGAAACTGTGATAAACAAATCTGGCAAATGTCTCAAGAAGCTTTCGCTTAATTTTAATTCAACCCAAAATTCTCTGAGCGCGCACAGTCATAGCGGAACTTTAAGCATTCAGTTCTAACTCATTATTAGCAGCTCTAGAAATGAAACGCGTAACGGTGCAGCCGTGACATGACGAACTGCGAATATGCTCTCAGATAAATTTCCTTTGGATAATACAACAATGATCTGTGATCGATAACATCAAAGATCAAAATAAATCTTCCGATTCATATGTGAACAGTCTATATATTTTAAAGAGCTGTAGCACTCGTTAGATCATGATGAAGTAAATGAGTTTCATGAATGGAACTGATTAATGATTATCTCATCTTACCGATTGGGAAGCTCCCAGAGATAGCTAATTGATAAACATACGATCTGATTAATTCTTATTCGCATACATATATTGTATAAATACAAACTGACTGCAGGAGAAAGGGTATATCAAGTCACAGACTCCCCTCAGTTATGGATGATATACCACTTCGTAATTTATTAATATTCTATTGAGTTTATATAATGCATAGCTGAATATTTATGATGACAAAGCGTGCAATATTTATGCGTATAACTGATAAACACTTAGGATCGTTGACATAGTATATGGTGGGCGCATTTGGATCTCTGAAAAAAAAAACGGTAGGTGTGCCGCACAGTGGTGCAAAGCCAGTTTGTAGAGTGTCGCAATTATATATAATAAAATTATAAATGATCTTGAAAATATTGTATATATATTTAATTGAGAAGCACTGTAATTAGCCACAAGGCTATCAAAAAATTAGGGTATAAAAGTGCTAATTTGACAAGAAAATACGAGAACTGGTCTATCGCAGGTGCTCATACTTCGAAATAAATCTCAAATGCAATTAAAGAACATGCACGTTAAATGCTAAAGGTAGATGTATTTGTTGTTGTATTTGCTACTGAGATATTTCGTGCACGCCTTATCGAATAGAAAACATCTGTGTTGTGGCATTTGAGAAATGCCGCCTCTTTATATGCCTAACACGAATATCTTTGTCATGGACTAATGAACTTAAATTATGGCCAAATTGAGCCGATTCCAAAATAATTGACACATTCAATGAACCTTAAACTGGTTCCGCAGCCACAGTCAACGCGGCAAACACTTTGAACTCTGATGCATTTCAGAAAGCTGGCTTCAATGTGCAGCATCCGACTCAAGGTATGCGGGTCGACCTAGACCTTGCACGACTTGACCACACCCAACCCAAGACAAACACAAGTATAGGCAGAGGCAGAGAAATCAATCCATTCCATATGCATAACAGTTCCCACACACACACCGCTCGGTCGCATCGCTCAAGGCGTTAAAAATCAATCAGCGCATCAATCCATTAATTATGAAAAACTCTGCGACATTTGCCATTGATATTCAAGACACAAAATTAAGATGTGAAAATAAATGATTTGCTATCAAATTGGAATGCATTGAGATGGCACAAAATGATATGAAATAAAGAAAAAAAATTAGCTGAAATGAATTAATTGATATTGATTGGCATTAAAGGAAATAAAATGAATTATCAATTGAATTATTAAATAAATCTTCAAAATATTAAAAACAAAAATATATTCATATGTCAACAATATATTATAAAACTGAAATTAAAACATATTTAGAAAATTACAAACAAATTATTATTGAAATTGTGCTATAAAAGGTGTCGAAAGGAGGCGTTGCTTCGTGGGCATTCTCATTAATAGCATTAGCTCTGCCGGAGAGAATCTCTCGAGCCTCATAACTCACTATCGTAATATATACATATATATAATTCATATAAAACTCGATTCGAATCGAGTTGCTGCTGCTACTGCTCGCAGCTGGCAGCAGAGTTTAGGCGAAACATTAATTTATATATCAAGCACCTGATCTACAAGTATTTAGTATATCTAAGCACACATCTAAATATATATGTATGTATATATATTTATTGCGTAGCTTTCGGTTTCATTTATAGTGGCTCAATTAGCATAACGATCGATCAATCGATCCAGCCCAAAGTTCTTCACGTCATTTCTAGAATCAGTCGTTGATTGGCTTTGAAGCTGTTTAGAACTCAGCTGGTGGGCCCATAAACGGGTCGATACGGAACTAACGAAATAACGCATTCAAGATTTCTCTTTCAATTCCATTTAACGTGTTATCTCATGCTATGCATATGTGTGTGTGTGTCTGACTGTGTGATTTTTATCAGATTTTATAGTTTTAATATCGGTTCTGCATCGGATTGGCATTCACAAATGGCATCTGACGTCTGCCAGAAGATGATTTTTTATGGGTTTAATCATAAATGTGGGCGATCGCCAGCTTCCGTATTGTCGCGTCATATTTGTCCAAAAGTTATGTGTGCTAATTAATAAACACTTGTTAATTGGATTAGGCTGCCAAAGGCGAGAACAATGCGAGGCGTGATTGGCGTGACCAACGGTAATTAATGTGAGGCCAAAGCAGGCAGCGAGTTGAGGTACAGGATGTGCAAAGAATTATAATCTATTTACGACTTATCTATGTGGAATACGTATACTCAGGGAAGCTTCAATGCAATGCAACTGC